GATAGTCCCCTCACGCAGACTTTTGTATCATATTTTCTAGTAAATCCAAGGTTTATCCAGCCTGATTTACAAGACCAAAAACCAATCATCTAGGACCACACCCACTAGTTTGAAGTCTACTACTGTGTGTGTTTTTCTAGCCACGGCCATCCTCTGTCCCGGAGGCGGCGCACCAATTGGAAGCTGTAGCAACGGCGGCTACTGTCCAACTGGATATTCATGTGTAAATAGAGTGTGTTGTCCGGCTATGGCGCAGGTACCAATTCCTGTACCAGTACCAGCACCAAGCAGACAAATGCCATGTCAGTCGGATGACAGATATAGCAGAAACTTATTCATCTCCAGTCGGGACGGGACCACCTAACTGTACTCGTTTTCAGATGTTCCAGTGCCATGTCCAACTGGAGTACCACCGGTAGGCGGTTGTATCAACGGTGCTTGTGCCACTGGCTACAGCTGTATCAATAACCAATGCTGTATCTCACCCGTCACCAGGAATCCTTTCGGTAAGGCTACACTTCACCAGTTTCTTCTTTAAAAGCCCTTCCACCAAAATTGGGGTTGCTAGATTTTGACCTTGCATAATAGCCGGGTCCCAAATTGTTCAATAGCCCAAGTCCTGCAACGCTCCACAAGGTGGTGGCCCAGGCAGCTCCGCCCACTTCAGACCACCCACGCTGATGGGCGGGGCCACCTAGGCCGCTTCTATCTTCTGCAGCAATTTTCTAGCTTCAGATTTCATCTTCTGCAGCGGCATTCGGGCGATTGCCTAATTAGGGTACTATACAGCTCAAAATCTCAGAATCGTCAATTTAGGTGGACTTGAATACCCATTGACTTATTTTCAGTCTGCCCCAACGGTAACCAGGCTGCTGGTGGTTGCGTGAACGGCCAATGCGGTGAAGGATACACTTGCCAGAATGGTTTGTGCTGTCTGGGTACTGCTGGCTCAGCAGTCAGATGTCTTGATGGTTCGGAAGCCATCGGTGCTTGCATACCATCGTGCACTGGCGGTAACTGTGGAAATATCCAAATCAGCTACTATTGCGGTACCGGATACACCTGCACTACCGGAAACATCTGTTGCCCAATTTCAAGTAAGTTCTTTGCGAAAAATGATCTTTACCCATCTCATCCCATTCCAGGCTGTCCCAACGGTGGCGATCCAATCGGACCACCCGTCAACGGTCTCTGCCCTGAGGGTTATACTCTACAAGGAAATATGTGCTGCAGTATCGTGGGTGCTGGAGCCTGTCCTGACGGAAGCGCGGGAACTCCTCCGGTAAATGGTATCTGCCCTGCCGGTACCCAGTTGATCAACAACGTGTGCTGTCCACTCGCTGCTGCTGCACAACTTGTGGTGAGTTGTTAGATGAGATCACAATTTTTCGAAATGATTTTTTGAGGCGAGGGAGAGGGAGAGTGTGGGGAGGACAAACTCCAAAAAAAACTCAATATTTTCTAGAAAGCACTCATTGCGAGGAAGAATGTGCCTTGGGAAAAGAATTTGCGTTACTTTACATGAGACAGACGTTTCCGTCAATCTTAAACAAAACTCCGGACAAAACGTTTAGGGGAAAATGATTGGGTGATCTCAATTAAGCCACTGTCCCAACGGCAAATCATGTGATTCGTTCAAAAAACTCAATTTTGAAACTTTTTAAAACTAATTCTAAAGCTGTAACGTTTGTCCAATACCGTAATCTTTTCAAGGCGGACCAATAATGAGTGCCCTCGGATACCGTACCGAGAATTTTTTCTTCGCAAACGTCTATAAAGTGGCTTAGTAGGGCATGGTAGAGTACCCAGTAATCCGCATAAAATGTTCAATTACCCACTTTGCCTTCAAGGATATTCACGAAGCATTTTGAAATAGGGAAATATGTGAGAGTTCTGTTGATAATTTTTCAGATCATTTTATAAACAAAATTCCATCGTATTCAGCTCAAGGTATCCAACAAATCAAAACAAAGAAGACTGAATCTTATACTTTTTGTGCACTTAGATTCATAAAATCGCACATCCGCGACCACTTAGGCACCGTCCAGAGTGCCTTGTGTCGGAGCTGTGCCAGCTGTGTTCCAATGCCGTGCCAACGCCAGGCTATCCCGCGCTGGCATACTTGGCATCAATCAGCCGACGTTTTAACATGGTTCCAGTATGGAGCTGGAACTGCTCTGGCACGGCACTGGTACGAATGACTCTGGACGCTATATAAACAAAGTCAAATTGGAGATATGAAGCGCAATACAGATGAGACTAACAATATTCGGCGGCTGAGGGCTCATAACTAAGCTTTTCGAAGTTAAATCGCTACGTTTATACTAATTTTCAAAATTATTGACTACCAAACTTCTTGCCTAACAGAGTTTCCTATCAAAACAATCTAGAAATTCATTTATTATAGTAACAACTTGGTGCTTTTCTTACTAGGCTCGAAAAACGCTAACGGCCTTTGCCAAGTGCTCAATTTCAGTCTAGTCTAACGCTACTTTAGCTTAACAGCATGTTTGCAGGGTCAGTGTGAGGTACCATCGATGGGAATAGGTCCGTGCACGACGGCTGGTTGCGGACCCGGTTACGCTTGTGACAACGACCC